AGTCCAGGAGTTACGTTCCACAGCTCCTCTCCTCATCTCCATCTTCTTCAATTTCCTGGACCACAAATTATAATTAAATTAATGATGATTGCTTCCATCAATTTGTTGCACCGCACCACCTCTTTCATGTGGCCTTCGAGTTTCTATACCAAGTCGGCTGCTCCTGCAATTGAAGACTACAAAACTGCTTCCCCGGTAATTATCAGTGCATGAAGCTTTTGCGAGCAGACAAAAAACCCACTAAACGTTGTTATTCCTCCAATAAAGAACAGAAAGGATAAATCAAATCATATATCATAGAATAGGCAGATGTTTGTTCGACAAGCAGATCTGATTTACGATCCGGCAACGGGGAAGACGGAATGGAAAAATCTGACGAGTAAAACAGCCATGAACTCCAGATCGGTAGTAATCGGTTTGAGCGAACCGGTCATCCTGTTCAGTGGACAGGACAGCAACCAATCGTCTTAAAATTGTTAGAAACCGAACAGGAAAAATTAGGGTTACCGAATCTGGAGCTGAGTCGCGGACTAGGTCGCTCTCTTTAAGACGTTCGCGGCACTGCCTTTGATGCTCACGGCAGACTATCAACCGGTCGTCTCCAGGATAAAACAGCTCCTCTCAATACCCGCGGTTTTGTGCGAAAACCAGAGCTCTCTGAACACTCTCTCTATTGTGTTTTTGCTCGTTGTGATGTGTTTAGAGGGGCTGGGGAGGCGGCTATTTATAGGAGCCAAACCCCTAGGAATATACCCTCTTGCTTGGGGAATAAGTCGGATTAATTAAGGAAGATAATTACTTCCTTAATTAAATCGTCGGTTAAGATAAATCCTGCGGGATTATCCTTCGAATATTCCTTTTTAATCGATTATCCTTAGAATATTCCTCAGAATAACCGATTAATAATTAATATTAGATAATTAATTTCGTTCGGAATTTCTCCAAAAAAAATATATATAGTCTCAAGTGAACCAACCAACCGTCCGACCAACCGGACGGACGACGCGCGTGTGTGGTGGTCCATTAGATCCTCCCTCTCCCACAAAAGTGGGTCATCCCAAGGGGCATGCCCTTAGGAGAGAGGCTCCTATCTTTATACACATTTCACCAAGTAAAACTACCAATGTGGTAGTTTTTCCACTTGAGACTCTATAGCTTTCAAAGCTATTCATATATACATTTCCAACAATCCCCCATGTTTTCCTGCCGTTAACTTTAGCTCTGCAAACCTTTTCCCTGCATGTCATCCTTCCCCCCCCCCCCCTCCTCCCCCAACCTCAAATTCAACTCCGCCTCTCGGTCTCTGTTTTTCATTTCTTAATCTTCACTTCTCTTATCACTTGTTTAATCCCACTCTTTGTCTATCTTCGACGCTAGTTTAACGAAGAAGAAGAAGAGAAAGCCACCAATCTTGATTAATACTGTATTGTTACAGTGAAGCGATATTGTGGATTTCTTTGTCACTTATCTGTTAGAGCTTACAAATGATGGAAAAAGGGGTGGTTGATTACGATTTGATTAGATGACTCAATCTTTAAATTTTACTTGCGTGTAGTTTACCACCCTTCTTCAACATGACTGGATCATTTTAGTAGATCTTTTCAATTATGCTTGGATTTCTTTTCATATGGAAGGGATTGGGCGATTAGCACACGGAAGAAGGATTGGAAAATTATTTTGTAAACAATTATGAAGCTCTCTTTCTCTAATTATTTCATTTATTCCCGGCGTCGGTGGAATCCAGCATCAGAACAATCCAAGACTCGGTTACGGTGAACGTTATGGAGGCACAAAATAGATGCGGTTGTGGCTGAAATCTGTTCTATTTTTGTGGGCCGCAACAATCTCTGGGCCCGTTCAAGTCCGCACATGTACAGTAAATTGGCCCGTTCCACAGAGGAAAGAGGAAAAAAAAATTAACACTCTCTATTATACCCTTTATACAAACACTCATGGAGTAAAGAATTTGAAAAAGGAGAAGAGTTTTTCTTTCCTACTATTTTATTATGCGTAGATACGAGGAAACCTAGAATAGAAATCCAGCACACCCATCTAAATGATGAATGATGGGTGGAGTATTGGTCGTTAGCCAGAAAGCAAAAGTCCACTGGACAATTTGAGGGTTGGAGATTAATAATAAACAAAGAATATAATAAACAAAAGATCCATTATATATCCCAGAAAGATATTATTATAAATAAAGTTGAAGTTTAGTTACTGTTGCCTAAAAATATACTATTTTGATACTTTAAATTTAATAAAATTACAACTTAATCAATGTAATGTACATTTTACATTTTGATACCTCAAATTTAATTTTAGTGTAAAATCATTGAACAATTATGTTTTGGTTTCTAAATTTAATGAGATTTTCGTACCTACAATTTTTATATTTATATATTGGTCCAATTTTTATATTTCACTTGAATCCATGAATCCAATCCACCAATCCTTTTGAAACAATCCATGAATCCAATCCACCATAACATAAAAGTATAAATTTAGTTTGTATCATACAAGATGTTGTATCACTCAACTGTAGGAGAAGATTCGACCATTTTATATTTGTTCATTATTTGAAGCATTGAAAAAATCATAAAAGAGAGACGATTCTAAAATATTGCAAGAGAGAATTTAAAAAATAATTTAGTACATTTACGGGGTACTAAACAAACTTCTACTAACTACATGTAACAAAATATGCGACATCTACATAAGCAAGTGTAAATAAATTGCTACGGTGAAAAGGGTTGATCGTTGTATTGACAGCCAACTAAAAGAGTTGGTCAAAATCTTTCCACCATCTACTTCCTCTTATTATTATTTTTTTATGAATGCGATGAACTTTATTAAACCAAAAACAAAGACAAAGGGAAGAACAGCCAGAGCAGCGCCCCACAAGTGGTGGAGCGAGCCGGGTTCAAGAAGAACAACAAGAGACAAAGAAAGCACAAAAGAAAGCAAACGAGAAGATGAAATAGTAGCTAACAAGCCTCAATCCATGCCAAACAACCTGGGAAGAGACAGATCGACCCTTTCTTTGTTTCTTTCTTTGCCTTCTTTGTCTAACCCTAATTAGTATATTATTTTTATGTATTCTAATCACAAGTATGAACGAACGGGTCCATACACGGCTGACCAACAGTCTAGACAATTATTAATTGAATCATGAACCACTAACTTTTTCAGCTCAATGTGGATTCCAATTAAAAATAAATATATATGGTTATTACTTATTAGAAAGTCGTCATTTTGCACTACAGGATTTGAAGGCGTGAAATTTTAAGCAAGTTCCAGTTTGTATTCCTCTTGCTTCTCTCTAGAGTTTTTCTTTTTCACCCGGGCTAGAATGTTCAACAATTATACATGGAATTTTCAACAATTATACATATCAAATAAATAGTAAAAAATTATCATATTAAATACATCACCATAAAAGGAATCAAGCATCAACTATGCAAATTAAAGTTGGGTACATAAACTTAATAGATCTTTAGATTTATAACCTAAATTTTTTCGGCATATAAGTCCTCAAAATATTGATGGAACATTATATTTTAGTACCTAAAATTTTTGTGTATTATATTTTAGTACTTGAACTTTTGAAGTTCTACAAATAGGTCTAATTTTTGTATGTACGTGTAAATAAAACACACTCAAATAAATGGGTATCTATACCCAACTCATACATATTTTGATAATGAAATTAAATATCCATACCCTACCCAAACCCATCTACAAACTTCCAAACCCATATATACGTCACTCATACCCTACCCATAATCAATGGGTCTACTTAGGTTTAGGTAAATATAATTTATTAGCCAAAATTTTCAAAAATTTTAAATTGGATGTTGACCGCTATATTTCTCTTCTCAGTCAATAATCATATTTTCAAATCAATATTACTAACAAAATTGCTAATAAAAAATTAATTTTAGGCTAATAATACTAACAAAACAACATAACAGGCTACATAATACATGACCATAAACCATCTCCTCCCCGCGACAAGGCGCGACATCGCCACCTAGTATATGTATATTCCATAAAATTGTTACGAGCTGCATATTGTCTAGAACCATGAAATGACTTAACCAGTAACTTAGTAAATTGACTAAAGCATCGTAAACAAACAAATCAACTACTTTGTCAATTGTCAAATGCTCAAGAAGATAAGATCTTAATACGTAAGACAATTATTGTGGCAGAAGGCAATTCTCTAGCCATCAACACCATCATCATATGAGATTGCAGGATTCTTCCTCTTGTAGCTCTTGCGTGTAGGGGGTTGCACCTTCTTAAAGGGAGAGTTGAGGAAAATGAATTAGGTTTTGATTTGGGTGGTCACTCAATTGCATTTTTACTATTTATTTTCTTGAGTTACCATCACTTCATTAAAAGTTTACAATTTGATCCATGTATTTTTTATATGTGAAGAAATGCTCTTATTGGGCGGGTATAAGTATGGGTATGGGGAGGAGAAAGGGGAGGCTAAAACTATATCCGTCTCATACCCATCAAACGTTTTACGGGTTTTACCCATACCCACCCCATATCAGTCAATACGGAGATTTTCCACGTTCACTAGGTCGGGGTCGGTCGTGTACCTGCAGTCATGGGTTGATTTCCATCCCTAGCGTCGGGCCCATCCTAAGAAAAATCTTTACTACGCCACCGACCAAATTCGTTCAATTAATAACAAAAAAAAGTGTCATCATTTTTACCCTTTTGTGAATCACTCTGTGGATCCGTTGACTTACAAGTTCATAGTAAATGACGAAAAAGAAATAAATACAATAGATTTTTCAATTGACTAGTCTTTTGTCCTCTTTGTGAATGATATTCCTTAGTTTTAATGTAATATATCGTTTTTTTCCCTAAAGTCAATGTACCATATCCGGATGAATGCAAAAGGCTCATCAAATTGATGATAAAAAAAAAAACAAAGGCTCATTAAATGCTAGATTGCATTTTGAAGTAGTCATAGCTCATCTATTTCCTAAGGTGCAAATTTATCACACTATAAAAGGATTACATCAACTAGAAAGCATCACAGTTTCCAACCATCGAATCGCAGAGAAAGCATATATAGGCTGAATTGAGCATGAAGGCCAACCCACCATGGATGTTTTTGGCAATAATGGTGGCTCTGCTGCTGATTGTTGTTCCTCTGCCTTACTGCCACGCCAGTAATCCTCGCCAGCGACTGATATGTTACTCCAAGTGCCTCGGAGATTGCCATGGTCCAATACAGGCATGCGAAGATATATGCTATCGCAAATGCAGGGGATCAACTCCAGATCGAGAATCAAAAACTGTGATAAAGAAGAGAGAGTAGCTCTCTCATATTAGATCTTTGGACTGAGATGGTGTCATATATATCATGTTTCCTAATAACTATGCATGGGATAATTTGCAAACAATAAAAGTCGTCATCTTTATCCTTGCTTGACTTCCTCTTCAAATCAATTACTTATTTTACAACAGACTAAACCTGGTGTCTTCCTATCGTTCAAATGACTTCGTTCCTCTCTGCTATAGTTCTTTAAATAATTCAAATATCGGCTTGGAAAAAAATCCTATATCAGTAAACCGAGTCGGGTAATAGCTAATTGTTGTAGACAAGTAGGCGGTGCGAGGAAAACTCATCAACCAGTATCAATATTCTTTGATAATCAGTCCACTCTACATATAACTGAAAATCCAGTCTTTCACAAACGAACTAATTAAGCACATAAATCCATAGCCATGTGGTTCTTAAGAGATTGAAGTCAAGATTTGTTGAGTTTGGTTGATTGAGGGTTGGAGAAGTCTGGTTGGAGGAGGGAGGGCCGCCATCCATCGTGATTTTGGTCCGGTCGGCCTCCATCCAACAACCTCCGGCCAACGATGGTGTTGGTCGTCGTGGAGTTAGAAATCGACGGTGCTGGTTGTCTCAGTCTTGGTCTCTGCCTTCTAGTGGTGGATGAATGTGAGGGTTACCCGGACATTCAGACGGCTCAAGATATGGGTTATGCACCCATCAATAACCAAATCTGGACCCTTCATTTAGAAAATTCAAATATAAGGATGGAGAATTAAATGCAATTTTTATTTTCCCTAGCTTTCTTAATAGATTCATATTTTTTACGTTTAAAATCGGATTTTAATTTTTTTTTTTTTTGCATAGATGGAACGAATTCATCGTGCTTTACAAAATGAGATCAATTTTCAATATTTTTTTAGAAAAAAAAATTCCGGCCTCTTGGTACCAACTGCATACCATATGGTATCTTCTTCGTTTTTAATTCGTTTTTGAAAACGTTTGCACAGAAGGGACGAGTTCATCATGATCTATTGGATCTACAAATTTCTGGGTGAACAAATTACAGGACCAAAAAATACCACACAATACCATACAATACCACCCTGGTACGGGGTGTTATCTTGTGGTACACAATGTTAAAAGTCGTAAATGACAATTAATATACTTCTACTATCATGTATTCAACCATCCTACAGTCTTGGTTTGTTCATACCACCATGGTACGCTTTTCAAACCATAGGTATGCTTTTATTTCAATACCAGTCAATACCATATGATATAGATTCGTAAAAAATGGCTCAATTTTTTTTGTTAGAAAGATATATCAAAGTGGATATCATTTTGAAGAGCATAATTAATCTGATCTAACTGTGCAAAAAAAAAAATTCGACTTAAAACGAGTGAGAAATCGTCCGTCAAAGATTAAGGAGAGGAAAATTAAAGGCTTTCCAGAAGAGAGAGGATGCTGATGTAGACGAGTTACTCATGGTTACTCACCATAAGGTTACTGACCTGATCCGCTCCCCATTCAGACGGCAGAGAGGGGGGAGCTAGGATTTTTTTTCTTTCCAATTTGGGGAAACTGGGTTAAATGTAAGTTGAGAGAAGAGAGTAAGTTGGGGTGGGGACGCGGGGAACTATTGGTTGGTGCATTGAGCTTGGGGGTCACTATCTAGAAGGTTAACTGTTGTCTGGACCAGACCAGACCAAGCCTTTTCAGATAACAACCTAAAGGGGTAGATCACGGATCAAATCAAATTGTATTTCTAGTCTAACGGTCTGGTCCAAACTATACGGTACGATCTAAACCACGGTTTTTAGTACGGTTTGGTCTCACTGAAGAAAGAAAGAGATCGATTGGAAGATCGTCGGATGCTGGTTGTCAAAACAGACACCAACTTGAGATCGGACATAGGAGGATGGATTCATAGGCAAGGCAGGGGTGGGGTGGGGGCGAAGTTTTGGTGGATGGAAATGAGAGGATCAAGATTGTCAAATCGGAATAGGGCATCATCTCGTTTGACAAGTGATTTGAGACTTAATGATCAGATCGAGTTCAACCAGTTTAAATTGGTTTTAAGTTTTAACAAAATATGTGAGGAACCTCAAATACCAAATAAATTATGCATATACTTGACATAATCTAAAACAAACTCACTAAACTACAGTCATATATTATCAAACTATTTTTTCAACAAAAAAAAATATTTTACCAAATTATCAAGCGTCTTTTCTTTTAATAAAAAAATCCAATGTTTTTATGTAGATAAGATATAGGATTCCTAGTGTGCCACTTATATCTGTCCATGTAAATATTTTATAGTTGTGTACACGTATAGAAGCCAAATAGGATAATCGCTTCTATAACTAAAAAATTTCTTAGAGACATGCTAGCCATGTACGTCCCAATGGCCAACCATTGAATGCTAAAGTTGCTGAGATCATTGTAAGTACTCAAGAATTATGTTTAACATTTTAATATCAAAGAATCTTATGTCAATTATGTGTTTATTTCATTTTCTGTGTTTCACAAGTATAAATTCTACAATCTGTGGGTTTCAGGACAAGGTGAAGGATAAAATGCAGTCTGAAGCTCCTAAGTTCACATGATAGTTCTGGACCCAATGACATATTATCACAAGTGCTACAAGACAAACCTTATTACTCAATCGCACATGGATTAGGACCCAAACGGGGCGTGAAGGATTCTCGGCGCTCAATTGTAAAGACGGCATTGGAGGCCAAAAAAAAAAAAAAAAGCTGAAGAGAAAGCACAACGGGTGGAAGAAAAACTGAACAAAGTGTTGGGGCAACAGGACAAGATCCTCGCTTTGCTACACAAGAGCAATCCAAATCTGAACTTGGATGAAATAATGGACTCACCAGATGATGAGGTGCGATTACTTGGTCCATTGCTTAATTTTTTGTGATTATAAGAAGGATACCCTATTGTTATTCATGCTATTTGACGTTCGTGATTATTCAAAATGGTTCTTATTATTATGCATGCCTATAGAATGATCTGGATGGAGAAGAGGATTTTGATAAGTTTGAAAGTGGTCCAATACTTCCTATGCTGCAATCATCAAACGGCAATACCTGAGAGTACTCCATTAGATGATGTAAGTTATTATTGGTAAAAGCAGGCCCGGCCCATAGTCCGTGCTGGCCAGCCCGCCAGCACAGGGCCTCAACATTTTAGGGGCCTCCAAATAATATATTATGTTATAGGCTCACCAACTCTACAAAATTAGAAAAACGTTTATATAACATGGATGTAAATTTATTGGGCCTGATTTAGAGCATTTTTCTTTACCTAAACTTTGGGGGCCTTCACCACTTGAATCTTTTGAAAATTTCTGGACATAGCTTCTTTTGTTGGGATTCTGGTGCTCCAAATTGGTTATATATTCGTGACTCCCATAAGGCTTTTTGGGCCCAAATTAAGTTTGAGTTCAGGAATTCAGGGGATTATAAAATATAAAATAAAAATTGAGCGCCTTAAATCTGCTATAAATTATAATGGATCCTTTTCGTTCTTTTAAGTTTGCATTTTGGTTGGGACTTGGGAGTGGCCTCTAGAGCTATACTATTAAGATTCTCTTTTGACCTTTAAATGGGATTGGCCTTTTTTCTATTTGTTAACTTTTTTCTTTAATAATAAATGATCTATCATCATGAAAAGCATTTCTTATTTTCTTATAAAAATGAATTATTTTAATGGATCTTTTCCTCAAAAGTGTGAGATTAGAAGAAAGATAGATGACATTATTTAAAATAATACGAGACGGTTGTTACTTTTTAAACAACTATAAATGATATTATTTCTTTTGTAATAAATTTTCTGAACTTAAGTATTTTTTACTATTATTTAATAAATTTTATTTTTAATAAATCTTCAGAGAAAATATTTAGGACCACATTTTAAATTTTCGAACAGGGCCTCCAAATATCATGGACCGGCCCTGGGTAAAAGAAGTAAATTTAGTGTGCTTAACTTGATTGATCTTTTTGTTATATATCAGACTACACCAGAAAATATGGTTGATATATATTTGCCTATGCATCATAACCTCTTGTCTAAAGAGGGCTCTTCGATGGTCAAAGAGATGATCCTTTGCTTAATTACATGATGACCTCATATCAAGTAAGAATTATCCCTGCCTATTATTATTATTGTACCACTATTATAAAATGATTCACCTTTATCTTAGAAACAAATCATCCATAATTTATGTTCTATCATGTTACATTGTCTTATTTGGTGGAAGTAAACACTATTTTATACAATTCCATAGCTAATGCTTTTATATGTCATAGAAAAAAGACACTCATGCACAAGAAAAAGTGTTGGATGGTTGTGGCATTGGTGATACTGACTCATATAGTTGTAACTCGTGGGATTTTTCCAGAAATAGCACCTTTTAAAAAAAATTACAAAAATAACACCCAGCCGAAAAAATTTACACTAATAGCACCCTTTTTTATGGACCGCACCTTAGAGTTGCGTTTTATACATAAACCATACCTCTAAGGTGCGGTTTATAATCCTGGACCAAAACCGCATCTTGGCCAAGCAGTTTCAGGTCTGACCAACAGAAACCGCGTGGCCGAGGTGCGGTTTTGGCCTGACCTAGCAAAACCGCACTATGGAGATGCGGTTTGTTTATCCAAAATGAAACCGCACCCCCAAGGTGCGGTTTTGCCACACAAACCGCACCCCCAAGGTGCGGTTTTGGTCAATTAATTTCCGACATGCCATGCAGAATAACAGACGTGGGTTTTCATCAATGATTTTGCCTATAAAAGACTTCCCGAAAAACCACTTCTCTTCACACCTCTCCTTCTCCCTTTTCAATTTTCTGTTGTAGCTCTATATTTCTTTAGTAGTTTTGCTATTAACGTTAACTCGTAAGTTTATTTTGTATTACTTTTTATTGTTATTTATTATTTTTATGATATTAACTGAACTACGGTTTTATTGCAGATGACATTCCAAAAGTTCACGCTTGGCTTACGGTGTAATGGTTACACGAAAGAGACCGGAAATGGGGTCACCTACGTCGGTGGCAATTTTTAGAAGATAAAGGTCGCTACCAGACCGCTGCTTGAAGACCTCCATCAAATGTGCACTAACGTTACTTGCATGGATGGCACGAGAAGAGTTGATCGTATGGTGTACCGATATCCAAACAGAGAAAGTGGGTCATTGTGGCATGAGGAATATCTCATAACCACTCAGGATGAGGTAGATGCCATGCTCGAATTCTTGAGGTCCAACAATCTTTCCAAAGCCGAGATGTTCGTTTACACCGAGCCGGTCGTAGGCGTTGGAGTCATTCTGGACACAGTCAAACATCTGGTATCCATGGTGGAGGTGAATTATATGGCGATCATCCCTACCAAAGTTACCATGATCATCATTCCTATTTTCAATACCAAGAGCAAGGTGAAGGTCATCATCAATCTTTCCCGTCATATGAAGAAGAAGTTCAACCGGACCTCCCCAACCAACCTTAGTACAACTTCCAATTAGGCAGCGGTAGTTTTTACAACTACCATTATGGAGTTGATGAAGGTGCCTTTCATGAGCTGGATCAGATGGAGGATGCCCTGCCAGCACTAGTCAGTGATCCCTCCGATGAAGAAGGAGAGAACAACGTCAGTGCAGACAGCTCCGACCCTCTTGAAGGTGCTGATGATTCAGGACTAGAGTCAGACTCAGCTAATGATGATGAGGTGGCTCGTGACAGTGTACCAGTCCCCTACTACAATCACATTCCAGACGACAATTGGATGGTCGGCGGCGACATGGATCCGCCAGAGGTCCCAATATGGGGTCCACTCACTGGGTTTATGAAGGGCCAACAATTTGGCTCGAAGAAGGAGGTGCAGCACGCCATTGAGACTGAAGCAATGACTCGGCATTTTGAATGGCACACAACTCATTCCAACACTAAAAGGCTCATAGTCAGATGTCGTAATCATCACGAGGATCTCTTAATATCCGATTTTCCCAGGGAATGGGAAGATATGATAATCGCTTAAAACCCCATTTCCTTATACGTGCATCTCTTTATAAAGAGTCGAAGTAAGTGGCGCTATGTATTCGATTAAATTATTGAAAACAACCAACACGATTAAAAATTCAACATAAATTTATTTTATATTCTACTAAATACATTAACAAATAAAAGAAGGACAAATGGTGAATAATTGTATGTACCGGGTGATTGTTCCAAACATCCATTGACCGATGGTTGGGTTGGTCGTACAAGTCAGTTGGATCCAACGGTCCTTGCTCGAGATAATACCGTTGGTTGTATATATCCACATTCTCCCCAACCTACAAGAAAATAACAACGAGGTTAGTTGACTCACTTCTACTGTCACTCTAGGAATTGGCCAAGTGAAACCACTTCCTAAAGTGTAGTATAGCGGGTTTAGGTTTAAATGTCAACCCGGGTCCTAGATTTGATGACTACTCGGTGAATTCTTGTTATCTAGCAATGAAACTTTAACCCAAGTCTAAACTAACAAACAAACAAAGCAAGTAAACTGTTGTTTTCAGGTTAAGAGAGGTCACCCGGATATGGTTCCCCCTAGACTGCAGTTAAGCCGGATTGCAATTACCAAGTTCAGTTTCTATGATAGTTATACTGTGGAAGGTTCTTAAACAGCCTGAAGTCTCGACTAAAGGTCTTCAGACCCTCTCAATCTGAGTCTCTAGCGGGCGTCTAACCTCCACCGGAGTAAACAGATTGAGGCCCTAACAACAAAACCTCCACTACCGAAGTGAATTTGGTACAGAATAGTGAGTTGGCTCCTCGACTAAAGTCACCAACTCCCTACCTTCAATCAAGGATGCTCTATCAACCTAGGCAGATATTCTCATTCTAGGTTAAAGCAGAAACAACAGGAATTTGATCAGGATTCAAGTCATTCAATCATTCAAACCTCAATTGAATATAATCAAATCATAGAATCAGTACTTGGGTTCATACAATCAAACCTAACATACAAATCTAGGGTTCTCCATACCCAGATGAATGGGAGAACTACTCCATGGAGAAAGAAGCAAAAGCAGAATCAGACGCGGAATTCATACTGTGAAGGATGGATTCCTGCTCCTGGACGTTGATCAGCACTTCTCCAAGCTCAAGCCAAGCTCCAATGGTGATGAAGATCAAGCTAGGGCACTTGGGAACTCTTGTTCGTCGCTTTCTCCCTCTAGGAATCGCTCTGTCTCTCTAAAACTCGAATCCCCTTCTCTTTTGGCTGAAATCTGCTTAAAAAGGCATCACTGGGCAAAGCACGGTCGAGGGCACGGACGTGCTTTGCTCCAGCCCGCCCGTGCTTTGGCTAGGGTTAATTACACGGCCAGCCTGTTGGGAGAAACACGACCGTGCTTTTGGGTGGACACGGCCGTGCTTTGGTGGAAACGGCCGTGTAATTTCTCAGCCCTGCCCGTGTTTTCAGCTCGTGTTTGCCAAACTCAAATCAGCTCTCGGCAGTAAAAGCACAGCCTAGGAACACGGCCGTGTTCTGATTTAAGTGTGCCCGTGTTTTGGCTTCAGCTCCACCGAATGACTTCCGAATGCCCTGAAACTCGTGCTTAGCCTTTCCTTTGACGCCTGGGACCTGAAATATGACAAAGTAGCACAACCCGGCGTAAAATAGGTCAATAATACACGACTATGCCCCTCAAACGGATAAGAACTAGGGGTGCAAATAGGTGCAATTACATCGTTATCATTAGTACATAGATTAATTAAAAATCTTATAACAACAACAAAAATTAAACCAGAATCATGAGTACGTACCGCTTGAAATTCATCAACATAAACTCCCTCTCCTTGCCACCAATCGGCCATTTTTTCGGGAAATTCGGACAAAGATTCGGCTCGGCTTGGCGGGTTTTGAGGAAAAAACCAAAATTCGGACAGAGATTCGGCTCGGCGGATTTTGAGGAAAAAACCTAAGAAATGTTTTCTGATGGCAGATCGGACTTAGCCTCAACCAGCAGACCACTATTTCCTAGGCTTTTGGGAGGGGAGGGTTTAGAGAGATAATTCTAGAGAGAGAGAGTGGAGAATGGTTGTGGTGTGAAAAAATGAGAGGGGGGAGGGGTATTTATACCATTCATACCGCACCCTTCAGGGGAGGTCTGGTAATTTTGCCAGAGCAGAAACCGCTCCCTCCCGATGCAATCTCCGCGTCTCGAGGCGCTGACCGCTCATTCACGGTGCGTTCCGCGATCCACGATCCACGCTGCCAAACCACTCCTACTCGCTGCGTTCTGCGATCCACGGTGCGGATCGCTGACGTGGCATTGCTCCTGCCCGCTAGATCGCCACACAATCCTGCGGTCTGCAAGGCCGCTGCCCACCAAACACAGACCGCACCATGGAGGTGCGGTTCCCAGTCTGACGTGGCGCAAACCGCACCTTAGAGGTGCGGTTTATGTATAAAACGCATCATGAGGGTGCGGTTTATATATAAAATGCACCTCTAAAGTGCGTTCCATAAAAAAGGGTGCTAGTGTAAATTTTTTTCGGCTGGGTGCTATTTTTGCAATTTTTTTTAAAATACCTACTCCCGTATGTCTTTTTTTGCTCACAAATAACCCACACAAGCCTAATCTCTAATTTTTCAAACTTATTTATGTCCATCTTCCATGTTAACGCCGTACATTTTTATTTTTTTTGTTATAAGGACTCTCATGTGTTGTATTGCAAAGTTTACATGATACTGATGTTGAGGTAGCAAAAGAAGGTATTGTGAGCAAAAATTCACTTTGTCGTGTAGGGGATCAAGAATTGGAAAAAGGTGTCTACGAAATATTTGTTGAAGTTGCATTCAAGCCTGATGAGCCTTTGGTGCGACCATATGCAAGTTATCAAACCATGGAAATGCGGTAGCAGAGTCGATCGCTTGGCCGTCACGCTTTGTAAGTTCAATATTATTTTTGTGAGTTTCATTTACTTATATGGTACGTGACTGATTTGGTTCATTATGTTCATGTATGACAGGTGAAGAATACCGGTGCTGTCAGACCTCTGTGATCTTTGGTTAGAGCTATTGGTGATGATGAAGATTGTCTTAGTTGAATAGACCCCTTTTGTTTAATAGTTGAACTTTGTCGTGAGGGAACACCTACATACTTTTCTCTGTTTAGTTGTTATAAGAATTTTGTGCTGGATTGTAAGTTTATGTGGTTATTATATTTATATTTTATAAATTGGCACCGTATTTTAAAGTCCATTGTGCGTTATAAATGTCTTCTCTAAATTAATTTTTTCCTCTATAAACAATAATTAGGAGAAAAATAAGTTTTCCAAAATTATACTATTAGAAGCAATAATATAAAAGCCTCCAGAAGACATTATCATTTGCCTCTAAACGTAATAAAAAAAAACACAAACAATTTAATGTGCTTCAAAAGGAGGCTATTAAAGACAATTATATTTGTCTCTTATATGTCATACCAAGTTACCAACGTAGACTAATTGCATTAAAATTTCATATGTAGATAAATTATTTGCTTCAAAATATACCCATTAGATACAAATATATATGTATGCAAAACAAGTTCTTTAGACGCAAATGTTGTTGACTCAAGAACCAGTATTTCAAACAAATGTAACCCTCTCTAAAAGTAAATACGGAAAAGAAATTGGCTTTTAAAAATAGGATTACCAACAAAATCATTTGCCTCGAATTCCATTATTAGAGGTAGAAATTATTTGCGTCCGTATTTGACTCTAAAAAAAATTCGAGACGAAGACAAATAATGCAAATAATGTATCTGCATCCAAAGACATACAAAAACAAATAAGTGACTTTTAAACGCAAATAACTTTTATCTCCAAAATCTAATTTTCTTGTAGTGGTTATTTGTGTTAGACGAGTGTATGTCGTTTTTCATTCTTGTACGTATGTCATATTGTATTGGGCCAGTTGTAGTTTGGGTGCTTGTTTTGGATTGGGCCTTTAGTTCCGACTCATGCAACCCAAGCAGGGAGAGGGTTGGACTTGGCCGAACGTGTAGATCCTTCCCCTAGGGTTCAGGCGTGATTATACCCTTTGGAGTATATTTTGCTTCTCGAAAAGTTGACACAGACTAGCCAAGGTGTTTAAGTGAGCTAGAACGTCTCTATTAGTCTTTGTTGCCAAGTGTTACAAAAGACTTTTGAGTTTGTCACAGTGGAGCAGGTATTGTTTTCGTGGGACATGCAGTTCAGGTACAATCGCGTTTGCCATGGGTAAGTTCTATGAAGGCCTTCCAGACTTTTCTTAGGGAAAAAATCCCAAAGTACATAAGTTCTATAAAAAATTCCCAAAATATGTAAGTTATAAAAAAAATTCCAAAACTACACATGTTTCACATTCACCGTTTTTTACAAACGCAGTGAATATAATCATCGCATTTGACAAAGACGGTGAACATTTCACCGTTTTTAAATAAAACGGTGACGTGTTCACCGTTTTTGTTTAAAACGGTGAGTAACGAGTGAGTCATTCACCGTTTTAATTAAACGCGGTGAAGTTCTCCCCGTTCTTTAAGGCCACGATGAATGCGACGCGGATCGCTGACGTGGACAAACGCGGTGCATTCACCGTTTTAGACAAACACAGTGAATGCCCCGTGTTTGTGGCCACGTCTACCTCCACCCCATACACCTGTTTCCACTGCATATATCCCTTCACTGCGATCGAAAAGAACAACTTTATGCTTACTTGATTTTTCTTCGTTCTTCTGCATTTGCTCAAAGACGTCATGTGATATCGGATGACCAGATATCTCCCTCCCTATCGCTAGCTGCAACCGAGCCACCCGCCACTCGTTGACCTTCCAGTATGACATCTCCACTATGACAGAAATAGGCATCACTCGAAGGCCCTTGTACACATTATTTATACTTTCTCCACGGTTGGTAGTTGCAATGCCCCATCTGGCCCCGTTGTGCATATGGAACGTCCACATGGCCAACTCTTGACCTTCATCCCATACTGCTCCAGCTCGGTGGGTCTGACGGATCGTCTTCATCTTTTGCTCGTACTTTTTTGGCTGATGTGCAACCGCTGTAAGGTGAACAATATCAAAATGGTCAATACATGATAAACAACAAATTATTAAACACATACTTAACTCGCATTAAAGGACATTAGTACCTGCATGCCACAATTGATATTTGATGTCTTTCTTCTTTCCAAATTTGTGTTGTAAATTGGCGAGCCAGTGTCGAATACACCAGCGCCATGTCCATCCCCACTCGTCATGGAAACCACCCACGGCATTCCTAATCCCCGCGTGTTGATCGGATATAAGTGTAATACCCTCCCGTTGTGTCACGTGTTCGTGTAGTTGGTCAAAGAACCATGCCCAACTTAAGCTATTCTTCCCTTCCACTATTGCAAATGCAAGCGGGAAAATCCACCTGTTTCCATCAACGCCAGTGGCAATGAGAAGAGTTCCTCTGTACTTCCCAGTAAGGAAAATTCCATCAACCTAATTAAATATTAGGAAGTAATTAGTATGAAATTTACTTGGGAGGAAAGAATACAAACATTTCAAATAGTAAACATGTATTAAAATACCTGAATAACCAGTATGCAGAACGCAAACCCGTCAATGCATGGTTTGAATGCCCAAAAAAGATGGTGAAACATCAACTTCTCCTGTACTCAAACTTGATCCTCAGTGCATACATTGTTGTATACTGGCACGAAAACCGTCCCAGGGTTGGACTCCTCCATTGCGGCCATAAGTCTAGGGAGTAAAGCATACGAATCCTCCCAATCACCATACACCTCAACCATGGCTTTCTGCTTTCCATGCCATGTTTTTTTGTACCTTATCGTGTAAGAATGTAGATCCTTCACCTCGGCCATGATAGCTTTGACCTTGATATCTGGTTGTGCTTCGATAAGGTGCTTAATAGTTCTCCCAATTTTCTTTGCTTTAAGTTGCTTGTGATCCTGGGAACGTATGGACGAGGAGCAAGTGTGGTTGGTCTCAGCTTTTCGAATCACCCAAGCACCATTTCTCTTCATATTTGCAGCCGCAGTTGCCACGTACAGCCCTCTATGTAATTCTTGCATATGACATGTAATTGTTTACTGTCAGAATATTTGACCTTCCACTCGAAATTGCGCCTCAAGGCCTCTTCGGTAAAGGCATCTTGCACAGCGTCCTTCGATGAGAACGCCATACCCACCTCCAAATTGGCCGTCGGATTATACACTGGCATAGGGACAAAGTCGGGGGCATCATTCTGACTAGGGGTGAACAAACACACCCGTAAACCGACCCACCCATCCAACCCGACCCAACCCACCCGTATTTATCGCTAAAACGAAGGTTTTGGGTTGGGTGAGGGTTTTCTTTTGTACAACCCGCCTCTTTTGGGTTGGGTTAAATTTTGGATTACACAACCCGTAGAACCCGACCCAACCCATGTTCCAACTATTAGTATGAGTTCCTATCTAAAAAATATTTATGTCGTATATAGCCATACTTATGAGAAAATTAAGATATTTCGCCATGTTTTTCTCTCATGGTCTCCCTAATCTAATGCATTTGTAGACTTAAAGTTTTGACATAAATTGAATATAGTTATGATTCACGTAATCTTTTTTCTTATGTACAATTTTAATAGAACAACATATTATGGATGCGTTTGTTTATAACCTTTTTAGCCTATTTCAACAAATATCGTGAAAAAAACTAGACATATGTTGAAGTAAATCACATTTTATTAAAATTCAAACAACATTTGTTAATTTTGATACTTTTCACCTCGGTTTATTCGTTTGAAATTTTAATTAGTTATAAAATATTTTTATGATGTATAATAATTATATATTTTATGTTGGGTTGGGTTTTTACTTAAAAATATCGTCAACCCGACCCAACCCAATTAGAAACAAACCGCAGGGTTTAAATTTTTTTGGGTGGATTTGGGTTTGATATTTTCCGAACCGTAGTCGGGTGATTAAAATAGCTAAACCCGAAGCACCCGACCCATGTACACCCCTAATTCTGACTATGTAAAAATTGAGTTGGAACCTGTGTGTAGTATGGCGTCGGTGCCTCACGAAATACCGCCTCGTCGTCGTTATCATCAGTATCTTCCTCCTCGCTCACTGATCTCAAATCTTCCTTAGTATCATCGTCGCTCGAGTCGAATGGATAGCTCGGCCCAGAAGGATCAACATGACCACCATCACCAACACCGTTTTCTCGCTCATGTGAAGTACGCCCTGATCGAATGGTATTCTCGATTTCAGCCCACCCCGGCCTCCAAGCAGGCCATTGAACGCCATCGGAAGGTTGATCCTGTTGCGAGTATTCTTCCGATGGCACCCATCCTGCACTACTACCTCCACCGTAGTTGATTGAACTACCACCCTCTCCGTAACCTCTTGTATAACCACCTCCTTCGTAGTTTCTCGAACTACCACCCCATCTGTACCCTCCTGCAAAACCATCATCATAAGAATACTGGTGAGAATGAGTTTCACCGACCGTCTCAGTCTCAACATACACCTCTGCTTGCCGCATCCCGTTATCGCTTAGGAACTGTAACATCATCGTAACCGCGTCATCATCGTTTATGACAACTTCTTGGTACACAAGCCCGCCAGTACTCATACATGGATACCGGTAACTAATTATACCAAGTCTCGTCTGTCCGCTCGTACAAACCCTGTCTGCACAAATATCACAGAGTTCTTGAAAATTGAATCGCGACTCAATTTTCAGCATAGTGGATACACCGTCCTCATAATCAATCCCTATGTCAGAGTTTGTAACCCTTCCATTCCACCGAATAATAAGCTGAAACTTCTTGAATTTACTCATATCTACAATTTACAATAAGTAACTATTAGCATAATTCCAGTAATTCATAACATCGGCCATATTTGCTACGATAAGTAATTCATAACATAACAATATAACTACTAAAAACAACCATTAGGAATTAATACGAAAATTAAATCATATCGAAAATTCCTGTTCGTGTATGTTGCTCGGTTTTGGTTGCTGAAATTTGAAGAGGGGGAGGGATTACGTTTTTACAACTGCTGGTGAGTTGAATATAAAGGAAAATCGGCCAGACTTCACTGTTTTTGTCAAAAACGGTGAACAACATCACCGAGTCTGTCTCAAACGGTGAAGATTAGGTGATTGTGACCTAATTTTCACCTACCAGGGGTGGGAAACGTGGGAAACAATCACCGCCTTAGCCTGGGGCGGTGAAGATGTTCCCCGCTTTGCCCTAAGACGGTGACGTTTTCACCGCTTTTAATTTAAACGGTGATGTGTTCACCGTTTTTGTTAAACGCGGTGAACACTTCACCGCTTTTAATAAAAATGGTGAACACGTCATCATTTTTATTAAAAACGGTGAAATGTTCACCGTGTTTGTCAAACGCGGTGATTATATTCACTGTGTTTGTCAAAAACGGTGAATGTGAAACATGTGTGGTTTTGGAAAAAAATTTATAACTTATGTATTTGAGAATTTTTTTTTAAGAACTAGTGTACTTTGGGATTTTTTCCCTTTTCTTGCAGATAGTTTGGCATTACGTCACTCCTTACAATGGTGCCCAATGCTTAACACATAATTTCCCTATCCTCAACTGCCATGGCACTTCTCTTCTGACTATTCGGCTGGTGTTGGCGGGAGGGAGATACTCAAAATGCAATCGGAGGAGCAATCCAAGAAGACATCCGCAGGCTGGCCGGACTCCTTGAGTTTTGTTCTTGCTCCAATGTTACTCGTCGTTTTTCACAGATACAGTAACGGAATGAAAAGAATACGAAAAAGGAAATCAAACACCAACACTGAAGTTTACGTGGTATCCCTGGATAACCAGGACTAATCCACGGAAGCGCTTTGAACACTCTTCAGGCTACTGATGAACTATGATGTATCAAGAGTTAACCTTACAGCCGCACTTCCCTCACTCTATATACACTCGAAGAGCCCTAGGTTAGAGACAACCAATTTACGTCTAACCTTGGATGGGCCATTATGCTCTACGTGTGGTCTTTTATTCATGGGCCCCACATCACTACAAAATACACGTTTCTACACTATACGTCAACATCCTCCTCCAAATTGATGCCGATCATGAAGCATCAATTTGTTCCCGAGATACCAATGTCGACTAGTAGAAAATGCCTTGGTAAACAGATCAGCAACTTGTTCTTCTGTAGGAAGATGATGCAAGATAATCGTCCCATCAAGAATAAGATCACGAATATAATGCACATGAATTTCAATGTGCTTAGTACGGTTGTGTAACACTGGGTTGGCAGCAATACGGATGGCACTGGTGTTGTCAACACTCAAGGACATGGGCGCAGAACAGGTGATGCCAAAATCTGATAAGAGACGCCGGAGCCAGACTATCTCAAAACCAACTTCAGACATGGCGGTATTCCGCTTCAGTAGAGGATTTGGAGACCTTGTCCTGTTTCTTGCACCGCCAAGAGATATATGCACAGCCAAATTTAACACACCAACCAGAAGTGGAACGACGAGTATCAACGCAGCCTGCGAAGTCAGAATCGGAGTAGGCACAAAGAGAATGAGTACCAGTCAAAGGAAACAGTATACCAACATCTTGAGTTCCCTGCAGATAGCGTAAGATCTGATGAACTGCAGCAAGATGATCAAGATAGGGAGCTGATAGGGCAAAAGCGTATAGCTTCAATTCCTATCTTGTAGTAAAACCGGAAAGTCCGGGTATCGTCTCTCAGGGACTGGTACAACCTTTTATTCTATCAATTTATAGAGCAAACTATAGGTGAAAATGGTTTAATGAGACTAATTATCTAAAAGTAAAATTAACTAACTAATCAAAGTAAATTGGTCGGGAGAAATTCAATGGGAGAAAGCTCCGGGAGAAACACCGGGATTCACTACCTATCCTATCCAGATTAATTCACATACTCCAATCAATTTAATCCAACTCTCTACAGCCAGGATATCACGAAAGTGTTAGCTATCCCTGTCGGGAATTACTACGTACTAGATAATCAATTCAAATCCTACTGTCGTAGCTCAATGAATTAACTATATAGTCTGAAGATCGATATCCTATTTAAGACCGCATAGCACCTTATTTAATCCACTGTCGCTTCGATAAGTTACTATGTCACATGAAATAAGTTCAGTTATTAGGGTTTCACTGTCGCTAATAACCTAATTAACTACAAATCATTGTATTGGTGGCCAGTCAACACAAAGCATTAAGAAATTTCATGCAATAGAGATTGAAAGAAAAGAATCATAAATCAATCCATCAAATCAAGAAATAGCTACATCCTATGGTGTTTCCCCCAGAAATCGGGGTTTAGTTCATGACGAAATCAAAAGATATAATCATGTTCTTAATCATCATGTCACGAATCAAAGCAAAGGAAAAATAAATACTGAAATTTTCTTCCCCTGCTCTCGATCGCCGCAAGCGCCGTTTGCTGCCTCTTTCCCTTGCCTTTAATTGCCTCTCGCCCCAGCCTCTCGAGAATTCCCCCTCTTCCACTTTTTATTTCGTTCCCCAAACTCCCTGCTGCCTTCTCTCTTTAATTACCTCCGCCCTCTGCTTCTTTTCTTTTCTTCAATTCCGTGTCCAAAATTGATTCCGCCCTCTCCTCCCCAAAGAATTCCGCCACCCACAATAATTATTACCTGCTGCCCGAGACTATTCTTTTTGCCCAAAGAGATTTTTTTTCCCACACAATAACCGGCCCCTGTTTAATAATTGCCTCCCTCCAATTAATGGCCGCCCAGATCAATAGATCCCAGGCCCAAATTAATTCTTCCCGAGGTGGGGTGATTTGGGCCCAATCAATTGTTCGTGTACTCGCTTCTTTTTCGTGCTTTCTCCACCTGTAACACATCAAACTCATGGCACTAGGCAGTAATGGTTTTTCAACCATTCTCGGGTTAGCGAGCCCTAAAATAGCACCAATTGGCTAAAACATACCACGGATAATCACATAAAGTCCAAGAATCCGATATATTAAAGCCGAATATCAGGAGCGGTCATAAACTGACTGACCACCTGTACAGCATAAGAGATGTCAGGCCGAGTAGCAGAAAGGTAAATCAAACTTCCAACGATGCTGCGATACTATGACCCATCCTTCAATCGAGTGTCGGAATCACACTGGAGTTTCAAATTCACTTCCATTGCTATTTTGACAGGGTGACAATCATCGAAGTAGTCATTGAGAAGATCAGAGATATATTCCATTGACTGAGAAAAATACCCTGGTCGTTGCGACTGACCTCCAGACCTAGAAAATAAGAAAGAGTACCAAGATCCTTGATGTTGAAGGCTTGCTTAAACCCGACCTTAAGATGAGAAATTCCCTGTAAATCGGTACTGGTGATGACCATGTCATCAACATACAGAAGCAGAGCGATAAAACCAGTTGCAGTGACCTTCGTGAAGAGAGAGGGATCATTCAAACTCTGCTGGAATCACAGTTGAACAATAGTATTTTGAAATTTCTCAAACCAAGCCCGAGGGCCATGTTTAAGGCCATACAAAGATCGATGTAGTAAGCAGACTTGATCTTCCCGACCAACAGTATAATCAGGGGGACGTTCCATGTAGATAACCTCCTCTAAATCGCCGTCGAGAAGCGCATTCTTAACATCGAGATGGAAGAGAGGCTAGTTCTGTAGACTGGCAACAGCTAGTAAGGTACGGGCATTCGACATCTTAGCAACAGGAGCAAAAGTTCCATTGTAATCGATGCCATGCTCCTGCGTGTAGCCAAGCGCAACAAGACGAGCCTGATTTCGTTCCATCGATTCATCGGGACGAACTTTGATAGCATAGACCCAACGGCTGCCAATGGTCGGGGGACATGGAACCGGGCGATCTACCAGTGTCCAGGGGCGGTTGGCTTCAAGAGCAGTGAACTCAACTTGCATTGCACGATCCCAGATAGGATTATCACGAGCTTGCTTGAAGTAGTAGGTACGACAAGAGTATCAACACTGAGGGTCAAGTAATCACCATATTTGGGTGCAGGGACACCTTGGGTTGTGCGTAGGGAACGTCGCAAAGGAGGCTAGGCTGGCGGTGATGATGAAGTAGCAACCTGAGATGAAGAAGTAGAAGCCGAGGTGGATGGCGATGATGATGAATCACTGTTGGAGCTGGGTGGAGGAGAGGACAGATCGGGGGGCGAAGATGGAATAGCGGGAGCATCAGCAGGAAGAGGTTATTCATCGTCAACTTCCTCAAATAGGGGCAAAGAAGAGCTACCACTAGGAAACTCGACTTTAGAAACAGATTTAAAAGGATAGAACATTTGATGTTCAAAAACACCACAGAAGTTGCTATGCGCATACGTTGACTCGAAGGATCATAACAGAGATACCCTTTATGAACACTACTATAGCCTAGAAACACACATCGAATAGTTTTGGAAGTGAGTTTGGTACGTTCTCGAGGGGGAAGAAGAAAAAAACAAAGACAGCCAAAAACTCTAAGACTGGAGTAATCAGGATGACGACCAAATAACGAATAATATGGACTCTTTTGGTTGAGAGTAGGAGTCACTTGATAGTCTATAAGACGGACAGCAGTAGCTACAGCCTCAGGCCAACATCGACTAGGAATCGAGGAAGAAAGTAAGAGAGCTCGAGTAAGCTCCATTACGTGCCTTTTTTCGTTCAAATAGACCATTTTGCTGAGACACGCCAGGACAGGATATCTGACTCAAGATACCACGAGAACGATAGACTTCGTGCAAAGGGTTTGAACTAAACTCTCCACATGGATCTGAACGAATAATTTTGATAGTTTACCAAATTGAGTCTGAATCATATTGAGAAATTCGATGGCGACAGAACGAAGTTCAGACTCCAATCGGAGAAAGTATATCCAGGTGTATCAGGTAGCATGATCTATAAAAAGGGCAAAGTATCAAAACCCAAGACGAGACATGGTGGAAGCAGGTCCCCATAGATCAGTGTGAATAAGATGAAAATGTTCATTTATGACTGTAGTACTGGAAGGAAAAGAGATACTTGAAGTTTTAGCCTCAACGCAACTAGAACATAAGTGTTTAGCAATAACTCCAACATAATTCTTTCCTAGAAGAAACTGTTTAAACATGACAGACAAACGACCAGAGTGTGGATGCCCTAGACGGGCATGCCAAAGTTCCCACACTTTATTTGACAAACCATAAAACACAGGACCAACAGCAGACTGAGGTTCAACTGACATAGAAGGACGACAAAAAGACTTGGAAACATGCTAACCATTAAAAAAATGACTCAAACTCAAATAGGAAGATGAACTTGAACATCCCTGAAGCTCCTCTAAATGAAATATCCTTACCTACTTACTCCCCCTTCCGATCTGCCTTCCCGTCGTCAAATCATGTATGACACACCCAGTGGGAGCAAACATAACATGATCAATAGGTCGTAGTTCTTGTAGAGATTTACTATCATTGGTCATATGATTAAAGCACCCAGAATCTAACAACCAAGGTTTGGTTTTTGGATTACCTTGCTTATTAGATAGCGCTGAACCAATGGCAGTGGGGAGTGAATTCTGTAAGGCAGTGACAGCCTGGACAAGCTGCTCAATCTTGGTGGCAGTAGGATTTCCAGCTGTGGTGTTGCTCAATTCTCCATGTTCTACTGTGTAGGCAGCATCTAGACGATATGGGCAAGTATATGATCCACGACTAGCGCCAATAGGCGGAGGATAAGCTGCTGATCCACGACCAGCTCCAAGAGGCGGAGGATAATATCCACGTCCAGGACCAGCTAGAGGAGCGCTCTCTCGGCATTCCTCTCTCGAGTGTGGCATTGTAGGACAATATGCCCCATTTTCTTGCAATAGACACAATAGTGTTTCGATGACGACAATGCTTCACTAAGTGCCCTTTCTCATGGCAGTGGTGACACACGAGTTCAGAACTAGGGACTCGGCTACTGAATTGAGGTCATGAAACAGCCAAGGCACTAGGATTTTTCCCCGTACCTAACCTGGCCGAAGTGGCCACAAGAGTCTCTCCTTCGCTGGACGGGAGTCGATTTGGGCTTGGGCTCTCAATCTAGTCTCTTCATGAACCAGACGTGCCAGCACTCCATCAAGCCGCAGCTGATCCTGATTAAGAAGGTTTGATCTCACGTTTTCAAACTCAGGTCTTAAACTCATATAAGGAATTGCATCACTCTCCCCTGCTGTCTTTCAGTGATCAAGTCATTCGTCCAAGCTTGTGGCCGCAACACCATATTCAGAATGTCTTGTTCAATCCAAAGCTCTTGCGTGGCATTGAAGTATTCAGTTATGGGCCGATCTCCTTGATCCAATTGAGCTAGGGCAGCTTGGACTTCAAATTTCCTAGCGGCATTAACCGTAGAGTAGAGGGTCATGCCTCCACATCCTATTTGTTGTAGTCAACAATCGAAGGCTAAGGCATGTTGAGGGATCCACTGGCCCCAATAACCATGATCAGATTCTAGCGTCACTTTGCCTCCAGGATGCTTTCTCTTGAGCGGTGGCTGAAGCTGCATCATTAATTAGGTTGTTGTTCAATTTCGTTATAATCAAATCAATTGGATGTGGATATTGGATATGTGCAACCAATGATTGTTGTCTTTTCTGGACTTGTAAACAAAATATTTCTGGTAATAGATCTGGCCTTTTCATGGTTTACTTATATCTGCTGCTACTTTTCAGAATTGCATAAGTGTATGTTCTGCTACTCATCAAAGAGACGTTCTTCAAACATGGTGAGAAGGAGACCTTGAGGTCTTGCGTGAAAGCGCTAGCTTAATTTCTCCTCCGTAGAGAGCAAGGGGGAGCTGAAAGATTATGCTTGCCGGATGAGCTTATTGCTAAGCTTAGATCTACTTTCAAAGAAGCTACGGTAAAGGGCTATGGTAAAGAAGCTACGGGAAGATCTTGCTACAGAATTCAAGAAGCGAACTTAGGTATGTTCCTTCCTTCCCTTGTACTCAACCCAGATGAAGGATGGGAGAAGATAAGAACTACTATATTTCTTTTTTCTCAACTTTATAGCATGGCATTTATTTTTTATTCGGTGACAATGCCGCCCTTAGCTAGAGTTCCTTTACCTGAATGAGAAGATTCGAAAGAGTTGGCTATTTCTTTAATTTCATTTCTATGGTGCTCGGTTTACATTTATAATGCTTGTGGAAATTTTGTTGCATTATGATAAAGTAAGATCGACATTATTGTTGGAAATAAAATTAATTATTTCCTTTTAACTCAAAGTTAATGGTGGGCTTTTGGGTGAGCTCGTTGGTTGAGCTAGAAGAATTGAAAGTTGGGGATTTTGTTTGGAGAAGAGAATTGGCAGAAGATTTTAGGAATGGAGGCTTCTTTTTTTTCTTGCACTTCCATCAACGTACAAGCAGCCTTTTTATAGGCCATTTCAATACAAATATCTAAATTGGGTAGTTGGCAACCGCCTTATGCTTCTGGTTCTTGTTTTTTTGCTTTGTTTAATCCACAATCATGCAACTACTGCCTACCTTATTAATTTCTTCTCTAGACACTTCCGCACACACAACACATACAATAGTTTCTAGCATGTTCTGATTTTTTTCAGCTTAATTATTTAATTAATTAAACTTTATTTTAGTTCAACACTCCCCCTTAAAGTTTAATTCGGTGTAACTCCGAGTAACATCCTCATCTTGACGAACACATCTTGCTTCAGTGGCTTCGTGAAAATATCAGCAATCTGGTCTTCAGTCTTCACATACTTCAGCATTACTTCTTTCTGCTCCACGCACTCTCGTAAGAAATGATATCTCGTATCAATATGATTACTGCGATCATGAAACACCGGATTCTTTGCTAGTGCCAGGGCAGACTTGTGATCAACATAAATCTCAGTTGATTCTTCCTGTGTCATGTTCAATTTCTTCAGCAACTTTCTTAACCATATCGCATGACACGCACATGATGTCGCAGCAACATACTCAGCTTCACAAGTAGATAATGTCACTATAGCTTGCTTCTTTGAACTCCATGTGAAAGCTGTATCTCCCAGGAAAAATACGAATCCTGTAGTGCTTTTGCGATCATCCATGTCTCCTGCCCAATCACTATCGCAGTATCCAACCAATTTGAAATTTACCGACTTAGTATAAAACAGACCATGATCGATTGTACCTTTTATGTAGCGCAGTATCCTCTTGCCAGCGTTCCACTGTGATATTGTCGGTGCCTCCATGTATCTGCTCACTAAGCCAACTGCGTAGAGAATATCTGGTCTGGTACAAGTCAGATATCTCAGGCTTCCCACGAGACTTCTAAACTCCGTTGAGTTGACCTTCTCTCCTTTATCATCCTTGGATAACTTTAGTCCGCACTCGGCTGGTGTGCTCACAGGATTACAATTCTCCATCTTAAACTTCTTCAGAACCTCTTTAGCAAAACCACTCTGTGAGATGAAAATTCCTTCCTCCTTTTGACTTACTTCAATTCCGAGATAGTATGACATTAGTACGATGTCTGTCATCTCGAACTCACGAACCATCGTCTTCTTGAACTCTTCAAACATTTGAGGATCGTTGCCTGTGAAGGCGAGATCATCTACATATAGACAAACTATCAGGATTGCTCCCCCTTGCACCTTGCAGTATAGTGCATGCTCATGTGGGCATTTACTGAACCCGTTTTGTTGAAAATACTTGTCAATCCTTCTATTCCAAGCTCTCGGTGCTTGTTTCAGACCATACAATGCTTTCTTCCGCTTTAACACCTTATCTTCTTGACCTTCAACGACATATCTAGGGGGTTTCTCAATATAGATATCTTCCTCGAGATATCCATTCAGAAAAGCTGACTTCACATCCATCTGATGTATCTTCCATCCATTTTGAGCAGCGAGAGATATCACCATCCTGATACTCTCCATTCTCACTACAGGAGCAAAAACTTCATTATATTCAATGTCTGGTCTCTAACTATATCCTTTAGCCACCAATCTTGCTTTGTGCCTGACAACTTCTCCTTTTGCGTTCTTCTTAGCTTTCAATACCCACTTCACACCTATGGGTTTCTAGTTCTCAGGAAGTGATACAAGCTCCCAAGTCTTGTTCTTCTCAATTGCTCCAATTTCTTCATCCATAGCTTTCTTCCATTTTTCATTCTTCATGGCTTCTTCAACATCCACTGGTTCACTATCAATGAAATGACAGTAGAGTGTCAATTCATCACCTTCAATGGTTGTCGTTTCCTCATAAATTTCTTCAAGTCTCCTATACTTCTGTGGCCTTTCTCGGAGACTTTCACTAGATTCTCCTTCTGGGCTGGCAGGCTCAATGTGACTGGGTGGACTTGTCACATGTGTAACTGTATCTGGTTCATCATCACTTTCATCCATAGTGAATGGATAAAAAGTGTAATTCTTCTTTGCTTCAGCAGTCCAATCCCATGTTGCTTCTTCATCAACTACCACGTCTCTGCTGATGATCAGCTTCTCTTCCACGGGATCAAACATTTTGTAACCTTTTGAGTGTTCTGAGTATCCCAGGAATATGTACTTCTTGCTTTTGTCATCCAACTTCTTCCTTTCTTAATCCGGTACGTGTACATATCCGACACTTCCGAAGACTCGGAGGTGAGAGATTGTGGGTTTCCTTCCGCTCCATGCTTCTTGGGGTGTTTGATTCCAAACACTCTTTGTTGGTGACCTGTTCAGCAGGTAGACTGCACAATCAACAGCTTCAGCCCATAGCTCCTTTGGCAGGTTCTTGCTCTTCATCATGCTTCTCGCCATGTTGAGGACAATTCTGTTCTTCCTCTCAACGACTCCATTCTGTTGTGGGGATCTTGGGATTGTGAGAAACCTGTGAATTCCTTGATATTCACAGAACCTTCTAAACTTCTTGAGCAAAAATTCTCCACCTCTATCTGATCTCATTGCTTTGATGTAGCGGCCACTTTCATTCTCCACCATCATCTTGAACTTCTTGAAAGCTTCAAATATGTCTGACTTCTGCTTTAAGAAGTATACCCATGTCTTTCTACTGTAATCGTCAATGAACAATAGGAAGTATTTGTTCTTCCCGAACGATGTTGGGGTGATCGGTCCACAGAGATCTGCATGGACGAGCTCAAGTGGTGCTTTAGCTCGTGACAGGGACTCCTTCGGGAAACTTGCCCTGAATTGCTTTCCAACTAAGCATCCTTCACACAACTGGTCTGGATGATTGATCACTGGCAGACCATGAACCATCTTCTTCTGACCGAGTAACTTCAGGCCTCCAAAATTTAGATGGCCATACCTCAGATGCCATAGCCATGTATTGTCCTTCACACACATTTACAAACACTTCGCCATTTCAGTTTGAATGTTCAGCGTGAACATTCTGTTTCTCGACATTGGGACTCTGGCCAACAACTGCCTCTTCTCATTTAATAGCTCCATTTGACGATTCACCATGTGGACTTCATAATTCTTCTCCATCAATTGACCCAAACTTAGGATGTTACTAGTCATGTCTGGGACATAGTACACATCACTGATTAATTGTTGTGAGCCATTCTTCAGCCGGATTTGTATAGTTCCTCTCCCTTTGATAGGAACCTTCGAGGAGTCTCCAAATACGACATTTCCTTTCACTGATTCATCCATATCCACGAACATGTTTCTTTTTCACACATGTGGTTGCTTGCTGCATTATCCAGATACCACATGTTATCTCTTGGTTTTTCATCTCCTTGATGTGACAGCATCAATGTGCCTTTGACTTCTTTTTGCACGTTGTTTGCTGTCTCCTCCACTTCTTTAGGCGGACTCCAACATTCCGATGCATAATGCCCGTACTTCGAGCAATTATGGCACTGGACGTTGGATTTATCACGTCCTTCATTTGATCTCCAACTTCCTCTTCCACGTCCACGACCTCTGCCTCTGGTGGGTGTTTCATAATTTTTTGTGGTGAAATTTCCTCTGTCTTTGCTTTGATATGCTCCTCAGGCTCTTCCTCTTCCTCTGTAGTTGCCTCTGCCTCGACCTCAGTTGTAACCTCCTCCTCGTGCGCCTTCTTTCTCCTCCGTGGTAGCTTTTGTAGCTAACACTTGTTCTGATGATTCTTCATTTCTTTTATTTAGCCTTTCCTCTCGTGCTTGCAATGAGCCGATAACTTCATCCACTGTCATCTTTGACACGTCTTTTGCTTCCTCCATGGCCACCACCACATAATCGAACTTCGGTAATAATGATCGTAGAATTTTCGCCACCACTTTGGTCTCTTCTATTTTCTCCCCATATTGCTTCAGTTTGCTGGCGATAGACTTCACACGGGCGGTGTAATCTGAAATAGATTCACCCTCCTTCATTTTAATGGCTTCAAAATCTCCCCTTAGTGTCTGAAGTCGAACCTTCTTTACTGGTTCTACGCCTTGCATTTCCTTTTGGAGAATCTCCCATGCTTCCTTTGTTGTGGTAGCATCTGCTATTTGATCGAACATCGATTCATCAAGACACTGATGAATGAGAGTGAGTGTTTTCTGATCACTCTTTCGATTCTTTCTCAACACCTCCTTTTCAGCAGGAGATAACCGAAAATCCTCTACGGGAATCTCGTAGCCTTTTTCGACAATATCCCAAGCATCTTGGGATCCAAGTAAGGCTTTCATACGAATGCACCAATTTTTGTAATTGGTTTTGGTAAGGTGGGGGAATTGAATGGGGAAAGTAGATTTTTCGGCCATGGAACAATCGTGATAACAAAAACACGAGAAATTCTTTTCTGATGTGGAAGTTCAGACTACGCTGCAACCACAGAGCATACTTAAGAATAACTCGGGCTCTGATACCACTTTGTTGGAAATAAAATTAATTATTTCCTTTTAACTCAAAGTTAATGGTGGGCTTTTGGGTGAGCTCGTTGGTTGAGCTAGAACAATTGAAAGTTGGGAATTTTGTTTGGAGAAGAGAATTGGCAGAAGGTTTTAGGAATGGAGGCTTCTTTTTTTTTCTTGCACTTCCATCAACGTACAAGCAGCCTTTTTATAGGCCATTTCAATACAAATATCTAAATTGGGTAGTTGGCAACCGCCTTATGCTTCTAGTTCTTGTTTTTTTGCTTTGTTTAATCCACAATCATGCAACTACTGCCTACCTTATTAATTTCTTCTCTAGACACTTCCGCATACACAATACATACAATAGTTTCTAGCATGTTCTGATTTTTTCAGCTTAATTATTTAATTAATTAAACTTTATTTTATTTCAACAATTATTGTTCATAGTTTCTATTTTAACCTTGAATTGAATGGCAGTTAGTGTCCTGAGTATGGGTCTTCTGCACATAAATTCAATGGAAGGGAATGTTGCGTTGTAATAAACGTTCTTGTGGTATTTTATTTTTGTTAACTTTAGGTTCTGTGAGTGGAGGAAATTGCAAAGATTTGGTGGGGCAAGAAGATGTTGATGGATATTTGGTTGGTGGAGCTTCTCTCTAGGTGATTGCGATTGAGTAAAATTGTCATCAATTTATTGAGGGTCTTCTCTTCAATATTTATCCGCTCGCTTTTATACCTGACTCTCTCATTTTACCTCTTTGTCAGCCTGAGTTCTTCAAAATCATGAAGTCTGCCACTGTTAAGAAGAGCACTTGAGATTTGGATTGATGTAAGAGTGCCCCAAGCTCATCGAATTCATTTACGAATTACGACATCATGAAATTAGCCAAGAAACATAGTGACGCTGGGGAGGCAGAGATTTTCAGACACGGAGGTTAGTTTCTATCTTGTTACATTAAATGTCAAACTATCAAGAATTATCAAAAGGGGTAACTGTTGTCATTCGTAGAAATTTAATATATGAACTGAGAATTTCTCTTGTACCGTTAGGAAGTTGGTTTGTTAAGGACCAAGGAGAGGCATTCTTCTTCAAATTTTGGCATTCCACGTACCCTTTGTGTTAGTCGTCAAGCTTGCTTATTTTGGGAATGCTAGTCTTGGTTGTGGGTCAAAATGCAAGTTGCTCGGTCTCATTGTAGTGTAATCTGGACTGGAAAGACCTATCATTGATTGAAGCCTGTGCCAAAGTTGAAGTGTTATAGTTCCTAAATGTTGTGTTTTCCCGGTCTGTTGTGGCTATCAAGCCTGCATAGCGTCACTATGGTTCCTTCTGGGGACTCTCTTGTACTACTTTCAAAATTGTTTCTCTGCCCCTTAAGAAAAGTTTTGTTTACCTGCAGCTTTAATTGACTAGCTGTTTGTTTAATTGTTCTTTGGATATCATAAGACCTCATCTGCTTAATAATCCTAGCTTGTGAAAGTATTTTGTACTTGCATTCTGTTTTCCGTGGTTATTAAATCTGATTGCTTCGTGTTTCCTTGCAGTGCGAGATTCTTTTGTTTGGTGAGATGCAGTGCTAGATTCTGATATGCTGTAAAAGGGGCTGGTGGTTTTGCAAGAAGGACGACAAAGAGGTTTTGAACTTTCACAAGGAACATTAGTTGTCATATATATGAGAATGTTAAACTTTAGAATGTTCAAAGGATTTTTGATTGAGGATTAATGATTTTATCAATATGAAGGCTTTCCAAAACTAGATTTGTGTGATTTTGTTGGTTAATTTTTGCTCAAATTACTATTGATTTAGTTCTAGTTGATTGGACTAGGTCATAGGTACTACTTGGAAAAGCAAGCATTTTAGTGACACATGTATTTAATTTAGCGACGGTTTTGAACGTAGCTAATCCCTGAAACAACCTTTCGACTGATACAATATAATGACAGTCATTTTCAAATTAGCAGAAGGCGATGCCCGTTGTTAAATTGTACCGACGGTTGAGACGACGGTCGTCCAAAAGCGTCGCAAACTAATTTAAGGACTGCTGGGTCAGTGACAGTCGCCTGTCCGTCGTTAAAGTTGTTTGCGACGGTTTCGACCGTCGTTAAATAGCAAGAAAACTGTCGCTAACGAGTTGCTTTCTTGTAGTGATCCATCCAGGATTCCCAGCAGCCCCCGTCCTTCTACAAAAACTCGAAACTGAAATTCCCATAGAGCGTAGTTCGTTGATGTGAGGCGTACGGAAGACCTCTCTGATTCAGCTGTGGATGGCTCTGATACCTTGTTCACAGATACAGTAACGGAATGAAAAGAATACGAAAAAGAAAATCAAACACCAACACCGAAGTTTACGTGGTATCCCTGGATAACCAGGATTAATCCACGAAAGAGCTTTGAACGCTCTTCAGGCTACTGATGAATTATGATGTATCAAGAGTTAACCTTACAGCCGATTTTCCTCACTCTATATACATTTGAAGAGCCCTGGGTTAGAGACAACCAATTTACGTCTAACCTTGCATGGGCCCTTATGCTCTAGGTGTGGGCTTTTATTCATGGCCCCACATCACTACAAAATACATGTTTCTACACTATACGTCAACAGTCGCGACTCGCGAGTTAATAGAGCAGTCCATTATGTGGCCAAACATGCTCTTTCATCGGAAGTTCGATGATTAATCGACTTCCGTCCGTGGTTAATCTATGTCCTCTAACTTTGTTTCCGGACTTTCATCTGGTTCTGAGTACGTTTAAAAAAAGCGCTGGTGTAAACTTAGAACAATGTAGTAGATATTGGTGTTCGAAGAGTCCTAACTCTTTCGTAAATCAGTTCTGAAATTCCATAGATACCACGTAAATCGGTTTGTATGCCTGTTTTATTTTCATCATCGGTGATTGTTCTACAATTTAAATTAAGAGAATTACAATCTAACTACTCAAGAATCTCTTCTCCTTGGTCTTTCACGAAGTAGGAGCAAAAAGGCAAACCCAGAGCCATCACCACGAAGAAAACAAGCGACACACCGCCAATTCGTAGCGGACCAGCCAGAGGTCGAGAGGACAGCACAAACACGATCTCGGCTACCCTGTTAACCACAACTGCGAAACCGATCCCTTGTGCGCGCAGCCTGTAGCACTTGAAAGCCTCGGCGGTGTGGATCCAGGTGATCGGCCCCAACCCGGCCTCGAACGAGCATGCTATCCCGGCTATTCCAAGCAGGCACAAACCTACCACAACTACCTCGTAGCTGTCGCTCTCCGATGCCGCGATCAATCCGTGCTGGACGGCGACGACTGGAAGGCCGAACATCATCAGGAAGCAGCACGAGGCGCACATGCTAGCCAGGAGTAAGAACCTGCGCCCGACTCTGTCGACCACGAGGCTGGAGCACATCACCGAAACCGCTCTCAGCATGAGTACGACCCCGTTAGCCACATCCAGAAGTTTCGTCGACACGTTATCGTAAATGACCAGTACGGCATGGGCAGTCAGGGTGTCGACTCCGGAGAGCTGGCGGAGAACGTTCAAACCCGCCACGGTGAGGACGATGCGTCGATTTTGAGGCAGCTGAATGAAATCCCTCCACACGATCCGCCGAGTCCTGGTGTTGTTGTTGTTGTTGGCTTCCAGTCCCAACTGCGCTACGATGTGGTTGGTTTCCGTCTGGCTCCGCCTAGTTCTTTCCAGGATCTGGGTGGCTTCGTTGACCTGCTGATGTCGCATGATCAGCCAGTACGGGGACTCTGGCATCAGACACATGCATGACGTCAGCAGAACAGAAGGAAAAACGGCTATCAAGAACATTACTCTCTGTCCCACCCCGGCAGGGAACCGTGAGAACATCGAATAAAATTTGTAGCCGAATATAATTCCCATGTTGAGCCACACCTTCATGTATACATTATAAAAGAAAAGAAAACAACAACGTTAGTATTATGTATATATGATGAGATGAAACTACATATACAATAAGATAAGATGAATATATATATACCTCAGGGGCGGAGGTTAGTAAACCTCGAGTCGGAGCCGGAGACATCTCGGCGATGTAGAGAGGCGCGATGGTGAGCACCAAGCCGACCCCAAAGCCCGACAACAGTTGGCCGGCGAAGAGAAGAGGGTAAGAAGAAATCGAGAAAGACTTGAGCAAGTTGCCCAAGAAGAAGAAGCCACCCGTTGCGGCGAGCGTGTATTTCCTCCCGAAGCGATCCGCAAGCAGGCCGGCCACGACGACGCTGACGATTGCGGCAACGTCGCTAACACACACCGCCACGTCGGCTTGACGGTTCGTGACGTGGAGGTTCTTCTGGACTGCGGTCCATCCATATTTCGTGACAGCGGAATCTGAAGAAGGAATTAAACAAGAACAGCGCATTAGAGCGATGAGTAAATTAAAGATTGCTCAGCACTCAATTTTTCCACTTAAAACGAACTTATTAATTACCGTAGCCGACCAAGAAGAAGGAAATTGAAGCAACGAGTGGGAGGAAGAAGTACTTGAGCTCCATATTTCGTAATTCTGTTTTTTTTTTTTTTTTTTTTTGGTGAACTATTTCGTAATTCTGTAGTGCTAAATATTGTAGAAAGAGGAGGTTGAGGTATAATTCGAAAAGACGAATGGAAGTAGGTTTATATAGATGTTTGGAAGGTGAAAAATATTGTCACTTAATCTTGAATTACGGAGCATAGGTTTGGACGTTTAACAGGAATGAAAAATTTACAAACGTAACGTAACAAAACGATCACACAACGTCTACACATATCACAACCTAACCATAATTGGGTCGTTGTTACGTCTTTCCTTGAATCCAAACTACTCCCTTTACAACGTGGGTTGTTAATTAATAAGCGCCAAGAAGTGGTGAATTTGTAGTCGGTTACTTGTAGGAAGTAAAGGATTTGTGAATACGGTAGAGGCTTGGCATTTTCTTAGAAAATGGACGCTTGCATGCATGCATCGATCGTTTTAAATCCTCACGTCGTCGCTTATCACATTTTTGTCTTCGTCCCTTATAATAAAATTGCAAGTTGCTTGTATAGTTAGAGACGAGTACGTACTCTAATAATAATGTATAGAAGCCAAACTCATCTACCACCGTTATTGTCGTACGTCGACACTAAACTGTTAGAAAGGGAAAGTGAAAATTTGTACGGGTTTTCTTTTCCTCAAATGGGGATTGTGATTTTTTTTGTCTCGACGTATAAGAGAGAAATCGCGGTGTGGCGGCTACGATTTGTAGGTACGTAGGAAGACTACAGAGGTCGTATTATCGAGGGTCTCTAATCAACGAATCATATAACAGTTGGTACTCGAAAATTAGTTTGTGATTTTAAGTGCGCCATGCACAATGAAAAAAAAAAATTGAAAACTTTGATTAAAGGCGACTATCCAGATTATATATATCTCCCTAGACTATGTGAAATATCAAATTATGCGAACGTGCCATTGCAGTCTATGGTATGATTTTATTATGGGGATTTTTCCAGAAATAGCACCTTTTAAAAAAAATTACAAAAATAACACATTTTTTTAAAAATCGCACCTCTAAGGTGCGGTTTGATTGTGAAACGCACGCACATGGTGCGGTTTATATGTAAACCGCACGCCCAAGGTGCGGTTTAAGATTCTGGGCCAAAACCGCATCATGGCCATGCAATTTTGGGTCTGACCTAACAGAACTGCATGGCCTAGGTGCGGTTCTTGAGCTGACCTAGCAAAACCGCACGTTGGGGATGCGGTTTTGTTTCTCCAAAACAAACCGCACCCTCAACATGCGGTTTTGCCCACACAAACCGCACCCCCCCCCCTACGGTTTGTGTGTCGTAATTATTTTTCCGACATCAAACATGTTGCCATGCAGGTTGACAGACGTGGGGTTGTATGGCAGATGAAAACCGCACCCTCCCCATGCGGTTTTCATTGATGATTTTGCCTATAAAAGACAGCCCCGGGAAACCTCTACTCTTCACACCTCTCCTTCTCCCTTTTCAATTTTCTGTTGTAGCTCCCTACTTCTTTAGTGTTTTTGCGGTTAACGTTAACTCGTAAGTTTATTTTGTATTACTTTTTATTGTGATTTATGATTTTTATGATATTAACTGAACTACGATTTTTTGTAGATGGCATTCCAAAAGTTCATGCTTGGGTTGCGGTGGAATGGTTATACGGAAGAGACCGAAAAGGGGGTCACCAACGTCGGTGGCAACTTTCAGAAAATAAAGGTCGCTACCAGACCGATGCTTGAAGACCTTTATCAAATGTGTACTAACGTTACTTGCATGGATGGCACGAGAAGAGTTGATCGTATAGTGTACAGATATCCAAACAGAGAAGGCGGATCGTTGTGGCACGAGGAATATCTCATAATCACTTAGGATGAAGTAGATGCCATGCTCGAATTTTTTGAGGTCCAACAATATTTCAAAAGCCGAGATGTTCGTTTACACCGAAGCGGTCGTAGGCGTTGGAGGTCATTCTGGAGACGGTCAAACATATGGTATCCATGGTGGAGGTGAATTATATGGAGATCATCCCTACCAAAGTTACCATGATCCTCATTCCTATTTTCTGTAACAAGAGCAAGGTGAAGGTCATCATCAATCTTTCCCATCATATGAAGAAGAAGTTCAACCGGACCATGCCAGCCAACCCGAGTACAACTTCCAATCAGGCAGCGGTAGTTTTCACAACTACCATTATGGAGCTGATGAAGGTGCCTTTCATGAGCTGGATCAGATGGAAGATGCCCTGCCAGCACCAGTTAGTGACCCCTCCGATGAAGAAGGAGAGAACAACGTCAGTGCAGACAGCTCCGACCCTCTTGAAGGTGCTGATGATTCAGGACCAGAGTCAGACTCAGATAATGATGATGAGGTGGCTCGTGACCGTGTACCAGTCCCCTACTACAATCACATTCCATACGAGAATTGGTGTGTCGACAGCGACATGGAGCCGCCAGAGGTCCCAGTATGGGGTCCACTCACTGGGTTTATAAAGGGCCAACAATTTGGCTCGAAGAAGGAGGTGCGGCACGCCATTGATATTGAAGCAATGACTCGGCATTTTGAATGGCACACAGCTCATTCCAACACGAAAAGGCTCATAGTCAGATGTCGTAATCATCACGAGGGATGCAATGTAGGATTCGGGCCATCAACAGAAAGAGACACGGCCATTGGATCATATCCCGTGCAGTGAACACACACACATATGTGTCATCTATAACATCCCAAGGCCATCGACAGTTGAAATCCAGGGTGGTTGCTGCGGCTATCAAGCATCTAATTGAGCAAGATCCTGACCTGAAGGTCAAAGTCATAATCGCTGACATTGCAAGTCGTTATGGTTATATGATTAACTATAGAAGGTGTGGCATGGAAAGCAAAAAGCTCTGGCCGCCGTCTTTTGTGATTGGGAAGAATCATGTGCATTCCTTCCCAGGTTAATTTTGGCATTAGAGGCGTCTAACCCTTGCACTGTTTTCTCCCCTCGATACCAGGATGAAGAGATACAGCCGCCAGAGCCCGGTAACAAACGCCATTTCAGACGACTTTTTTGGGCATTTAAGACATCTATTGATGGTTTTGGCTTCTGTGTCCCTGTGATCCAAGTGGATGGTACATTACTTACCGGCTAGTACAAGGGCACTCTCCTGATTGCCAGTGGGGCGGATGCAAACAAACAAGTCTTTCCTTTAGCCTTCGCCATTGTTGAGGGAGAGAATGCTAATAGCTATAGATGGTTTTTTTGGCAAATTCAGCTCCACGTCACTAGAAGAACGAACCTGACAATAATCTCTGATCGGCACGCCGACATTAGGGCTGCCATCTTAGGTTTGGATCCATCCTGGAAGTGGTCCCAAAGGTGGTGCATACGACACTTCAAGAGCAACTGGAACCATCATTTCAAACGAAAGAAGCTTGCTGATAATTTGTGGTAGATTGGTAAGCTCTCTATTGGTTGTTTAATTTTGTCAAATAACAATTTCTTATATCAAATTAAATGGTACACTTGTTAGACTCTTTATAAAGAGATGCATGCCTAAGGAAATGGGGTTTTAAGCGATTATCATGGCCCTCCCATTTCCTGGGAAAATCGGGTTTTAAGTGATCCTCGGATCCCCCCTTTTTCTGTCAAAAAGGCTACGTTTCTAAGAAGATGTATACCTCTTCTAAAAGTCTAACGAGTGTACCTGCTGGTTGTTCTAATTATACTAAATTGCCAAATCCAGACTAACTTAATACTTTTATGTCTACTCCTCAATTGTTGCCTACCAACAGAAAAAATTCCAAGAGAAGTTGCAAAAGATGTGTGAGTTATGTCCTGGAGGGGCACAGTGGCTGGATCGACATGACCTATCCATGTAGACATTTCATAAAGACGGAGGTACAAGATGTGGTATTGCTAATGTACTTAGTTGAATAAATTATTGAGTCGAAGTAAGTGGCGCTATGTATTCGATTAAATTATTGAAAACAATCAATACGATTAAAAATGATCAAAATTATTTTATATTCAACTAAGTACATTAGCAAAATAAAAGAAAGACAAATGATGAAGAATTGTATGTACCTCATGATCGTTCCAAACATACCTTGAACGATGGTTGGGTTGGTCGTACAAGTCGGTTGGATCAATAGGTCCTTGATCCAAATAATATCGTTGGTTGTATATATCCACGTCGTCCCCAACCTACAAGAGAATAACAACAAGGTTAGTACATATAATAATTAAAAAGCTTATAACAACAACAAAAATTGACCAGAATAATGAGTACGTACCGCTTGAAATTCATCATAATAAACTCTCTCTCCTTGGAACAACTCATTCATTTCTTCGCGAAAGTCGGACAGAAATTCGGCGGGTTTTGAGGGAAAAACCAAAGAAATGTTTTCTGATGGCAGATCGGACTTAACCGCAACCAACAGACCACTCTTTTCTATGATTTTGGGAGGGGAGGGGATAGAGAGATAATTTTAGAGAGAGAGTGAAGAATGGGTTGTCGTGTGAAAAAATGAGGAGGGGGGTATTTATACACTTCAGACCGCACCCTCCAGGGGCGGTCTGGTAATTTTGCATTCATTGAAACCGCATCTAGAGGGTGCGGTTTCCGTTTCTCGAGGCGCGGAAGGCAGGCGGAAGGTGCGATCTCCGATCCTTGGCACGGATCGCTGACTTGGCGTGCGGTCCATCGTTGGATCGCCGCCTCATCCAACGGTCTTCAAGGCCGCTCCCGAAGAAACACAAACCACACCATCTGGGTGCGGTTCCCTGGCTGACATGGCATGGACCGCACCTCCAAGGTGCGGTTTCAAAAAACGGGTGCTATTTTTGTAAATTTTATGGGCTGGGTGCTATTTTTGAAAAAAAAATTAAAACGTGCTATTATTGGAAAATCCCTTTATAATGTATTATGTGTCATAAACCAGTTGGTCCCAATAACTCGAGTTGTTGGGAGAAGGTTATGTTGGATCTTATACCATAATCTAACACGCCCCCTCAAACGAAAGCCAACTCACGGGCTTGAAGTTTGCACAGGCCCACCATACCTTGTGCTTAATAAGGCGTTAATATTGGGGGTCGTGGAGATTCGAACACACGACCAC